GCCGGAGCCAACACCATTGAACCGCCAGCTCAGCACCATCTCGGTACCAACATGCACGCTGGCGCGCCGGGTGCCCACCAGAAGCCAATGAGTGAACACAGAACAGCGGCGAACGACAAGCGATAAACGACAAACGACGACGAGCGAGCAGGCCCCCAAACACACCTCCAGGCTTTGACACGAAGACGCGCCTGTGTCTGCCTCTGCCTCTGCTTCTACCTCGGGCGGCCCCCGCCCCATGACGCGCTTCACGAGATTAGCTGAAGGACCAGATAAAATCGGAGAGGTTCGTTTCGTCGCAGGATGCTCCTTGCTTCCTGCCAGGGTCCCCCCCCCCCCTCACCTCACATCACCACCACTCCTCTCCCCCCCTCCCCTGTCTTGGCCCAACCCCCAAACCCCCCTGATCCTTTCACTTTGCCGTCGGTTCCTGGTCCATCAGGCCCATCAGGCCCATCAGGACCCATCACTGAACCTGACCCCCGTCATCCTTCTCGTCCTTCTCTCGTCCGTGTGTCGCTCAGTCCCCTCTTCGGATCGGATCAGAGCAACACAGAGCAGAACAGAGCACGCTCCTTTCTCCACCCTGCCCGTCGCCTCGCCCACCCATCCTCCGCCATCCATCCTCTCTCTCGACTGTTCTACCAGGTCGGTCACTGACCTTGGATCTTGTTCCTGACTAACGAAACCCGCTCTCTCCGCCCCGGTCGCCCGCTAGCCTGCCAACGCAGTTTTGCTTCTTCCACAGCTCTCCTCACGGGGACCCTGCCTGACCACGCACTACCTTACCACGGACGGGCCTTACCTACCCTGCCTGCCCTGCCTCCTTTCAACACCACCACGTTCCCGTCCGTCCTCCCCGTCCTCCGTCTCACGTCAATCCAACCCAAGTCAATCGTTTACCACGCACCTCGTTGCGCGCGATATCACCTCACTCGCTTTTTGAACCTCGATACTTCGATTCGCAGCTTGCTTATTTGCACCCTCGGCCTCGATTTGCCTGCCTTCCTCATCCACACACTCGTTCTCACGCACCTTGGAAATCGTCAGTCACTGGACAGCAATTACGGAGAAGCCGAAGGGGAAAGAAAACCACACACGGCACTTCCGCCAGTTGACTCCGCTTACCACCACTCGTCCGGAACCCCAATCACAAATCGAATCACATTGCCGTACTCGCTCTCTCTACGCTCTCGGCCCACGTTGACCAGTTGGCTTTGCTTTTCTGCGTGCTGGACACAACAGCCACGACTCACCTCCCGTCCAACGCCGCAACCGCCGCCTGGCTGTGAACCGAACGAAACGCCCGCTGCCTGCGTCCGTCGACCTCACCTGAGCCGTGTGAGGACATAGCATTGCTCACACGCTTCGGTCGACCCAACCACATCCGCTTGCGCGTTCTGCCTTCTGTCTGACGGCAAAGCACAGCGTCGCCATGGATCACACAATGCAGGATGCACCTGCCGACGTCTTGGTCGAGGCCAGACGCACTCTCGAAGCTCTCAAGAGCTCCGGCTTGTCACGCGAAGTCCTGTTGGAGATGTGGGAGGCTGGCGATAGGTCCTCTCAGTCATCGACAGAAACCGTCTTGGAGGATGCGTCCACAAGAGGTTCGTCTTCGACCTTGTCGTCCCCTTCCACGCCGCTGACCGGCCTGCCACCACCTCCAGCCATCTGCCACGGCCAGATCGGTCACCGACCGCGCATCTCCGTCTCCTCGACCAGCTCCGGCTCATCCGGCCACGCCAGCATCTGGTCTATGGGCTCCATGAACTCGAATGCCTCCATTTCCACACACTACTCACAGCCCGCTATGGGCCCCTCATCCCAGTCTCAATCCGTTCCCCAGCACTCTGTGGGCGGCGCTCTGCCTCAGGTCGCTAGCGCGCAGACTGGATGGGGCCCTGGACGATTCAACTTTTACTGGTGCACCTCTTGCGAGACGAGGTTCAAGCGCAAGTACGACTGGAAGCGCCACGAGGAAGAGTTTCATGAGCGTTGGAAGAAGTATCCCTGTCCCGAGCCCGGCTGCAACCGGAGCTTTTGGGGTGCCAACACCTTCAACCAACATCACAAGTCTTCTCACGGCTGCAAAACGTGTCCGCACTCCGAAAAGGTCGTCAAGTATCTCAAGCGGAGAAAGTACTGGGCATGCGGCTTCTGCTCTGCCCTGCATCCTTCTCGAGAGCGCCACGTTGAGCACGTTGCCAGGCATTTTGAATCCGGCAAGACAAAATCGGACTGGATGCACTCGAGGGTTGTCTACGGCTTGCTGCATCAGCCCCTGATTCACGAGGCTTGGAAGGATATTCTCATGGGCAAGGCTGCCGAGTTTGCCGGCCGCCAGCCCAACTTCAGCTGGAACCCAACTCAAACTGGACGCGCTCAAGGCTTTATGGAAAACGAGTGCCCCGGTCAGCTGCAGGACCTACTTGAGTTTTTCTCAGGTTCCAGCACCGAGGCCGAGTCGATCGTCTCGGTTGCCTACGAGCTCGCCGACCTTGTGTTCCTCAACGTTCCAGCATCGCCGCCAATGGACTATGCTCAGTGCTACCCGCCTCAGCCCACAAGTCTTGCTCCGCCTCCGCCGCCTCAGGCATATCCGCCACAGCCGCTCCTACCGCCGCCAGCCATTCCTTCTCAGACCCTGCCCACTCAGCAGCCGTCACCACCTATTGTGCCGTCCCAAGAAGGCAGTCATCAACCTTTTGTTGACCAGATGCGAAATCAGCAACAGCAGCAACAGATGGATCAAATGAGGAACCAGCAGCAACAGATGGATATGGACCACATGAGAAATCAGCAGCACATGGAGCAAATGAGAAGCCAACAGCAGCACATGGACCAGATGCGGTCTCAACAACAGCATCAGCAACAGCAACAACAACAACAACAGCAACAACAACAGCAACAACAACAGCAACAACAACAGCAGCAGCAGCAGCAGCAGCACATGATGCCACCGCCACTTTTTCATCAAGGCCAGCCAGTCACTCGCGCCAGTTCCGATCCCATCAGGCACTCACTTGATCGCGAATTGCCGCCGCCTCCACAAGAGGCCCCGCCCATGAATTTCAACTACATGCCCAACAACGTTGTGTTTGAAGACTGGGAGAGCTTTGGTACCACAGTCGTCGATGACCACAGCTCAACACCAACACCTGTGTCAGCAGAGTGGCCCATGGTGCCAGTTCAATACTACCATCACACGCCTGTTGGGCAGTAATGGTGGTGATTCAAAGCAGACGACACACACAAACGTACACATACACGCACAAATACCCATATGCACTCACATACCCCCATTCAAACACCAGCCCAGCAGCGAAGGGCCCTTTCTTTGTCAAGTTTTCAATGTTCCGTGGGCATTTTCGCCATGAGGTCAGCAACATTTAGTATATAATGGTAATCTTCACCTGTGTCATTTGTATCGGAACGGCGGGTTCATTGGTTGAGTTAAACAACAACATGTCATGAGGATACTCGAGGGAAGCGCAACAAGAGGGTGAGTACACTCTATGGATGCCGTATTGTTTTCCCTTGGCAATGAGAGGATCCTGATTGGAAAGACGAGGATGAAAGGTCAAGGTGACCATGGGAATGAGCCACATAGGCCACGGGGGGGGCAGAGAAGACGGTGGTGGAAAGAGTTCAGGGAGGGTTTGACCAAACAAACAAAGCACCAGTTGTTCATCGAAGACCCATTACGCTTGATGCTCAAACGTCGATGCGATAAATTCTAGTACATCCACGCATTAACCTTGTCTCTCTACCCCAGTCTACATTTTGCGTCACACCGTCACATCACGCCACTGCGTTTGGTAGAGCAAGATTTCATGACTGCCTCATCGCCACAACACAGCATCCTGCCCTCAATGCCAGACAGGCGAGCAAGCAAAGAGATCGAGCAAGCGAACGAACCCCTCTGCTACAGAACTTACTACGATGCAGCTACCCGCAGCTGCAGCTGATGCAGGGAAGGCCTCTTCCCCCGCCCGTCGCCAACTCCTCTTCGATCAGGTCTAATGAATCCGGTCGCCCCCCTGGTCCTCAACCCCCCCCCCCCTCGCGTGATCTTTGGGCCTGTAAACGACAGAGAATCTGTTTGCTGTCTGGGCGTCGCTCTTGTTCATCATGAAGGCTATTGGCTGGCTCGCCGGGCCTCGCCTCGGCCCTCCTATGACTCGGCGACGCAACGCGTTCGTGACACAAGCCGACGCATAATGCAGCCCCCTTCACCGTCATCTTTGCAAACAAGGCGATCGCGCTGTAAGCGGCGGGAATGAGGGGGCCCCGTGATGGTTGTCGCTCGCTTGCCTCTGACCGGGAGAGGCGTGGAAGGAGAGGGGAAAGGCGACCTGGATATGGTATGATGACCCGATCACAGACTCCGGCAGGCAAGCCATCATCACACAAGGGGAGACGCTCTGGCCTAGGGGCACGGAGAGTATGAGAGGCGGGGAGGGGAAAGATGAGAGGGGCGGTTGACTGTCGAGCTGATGTTATAAACGAGCTTGATTCTTCCTGGTGTTGAGGGGTGGTCCCTTTTGCTGCCTTCTTCAGGAAGTCCCCCTTTATCTTTCCCCCCTCCCGGTAAGATTTTCTGGAATTACCTGCCAACTCCTTCCGTTTTTCACGCACACATCAATAACCAGACCTCTTGTCTTTTGTGTCTCGGTCCGGTTGACACCCCAAAAGCATACTGAGAACGAGTGAAAGGCCCTGCCTATCACCACTCATCTTATTGCGGCATTCTGAGACTCGACTCGTCGAAGACCTATCCGTTCATCCTACCCGTCCATCTGGTTGCTTCTGACGCAGCCATCCGTCCCGACCCAGAAGAAAGCTTTCGTGTACGTCCCCAGTTTGCCTCTCAGCATACTTCGACAGCCTTCTTCTCCTCTGTCGTGACTGTCTCTCCACATTCTTGTTCCTTTCCTTTTCCTTTCTAGAACTCGAATCGGATTCATTTCCTAAGCTGACGGGATCCTGCCCAAAGAATGTCTCAGAACGCCGACCAAGCCGCCCGCGAAGCCGCCAAGGCCCGGCTTGGCACCGAAGCGACCGCCGTCGCTTCGGCCGAGGCCGCGGCCAAGGCTGCCGCACTCGCCGAGGAGCTCCGGGCTGAGGCCGAAAGAACGTCGCCTCCCCCGCCCAAGAGACTGAGCTTCACCATGGAGCGCTACCTCAGCGAGACACCGGTCCAAGAAGTATTCAACGGCATCAATAAGTGAGACCATGGTGAGGGCGCGCTCTGAAGTCTGTGGATTTGTTTGTTTCTGGCGGTTTGTGCGATTCGTGCGCTTGAATCTCTCGTTCTATTTTGGTATCACGATTCTTGGGCCCTTTGCCTTTCGGCGAGATCCAAGTTTTAGCTTTGGCGGGGTTGGATGCAGACTGTCTTGGTGTGCTGCTCTATCTTGTCTTATTTCCTGGTTTGAATGTTGGTAGGCCTTCTCAGAGGACTGGGTATGTTTCTTCCTTTGACGCTAACGATTATGACGAATGTATGAATGAACCAGAAATGCCACTTCGACCTCGTTGCTCTACCGTTCGCATGGTTACTCGTGACGTTCGGATGCAACACTGACATCGGATAGATCTTCGTGTTGCGACGTACCAGGGCGTAAGTAGTCGTGTTGACGTGGTGGAACGAACGGTCTGATTCTTGGTGGCTGCCTGGGTAAGCAAGCGAATATGATGTAGGCACCTGGCATTGTGTGTGTATGACCAGAATCTGTTCCATTCGGCGTCATGTCGTTAGCCTCTGGCTCGCAAGTGGCATCGCGAGTTTGTCAGTCCACTTAACGAACTGCTTGTTTTGATCATGTTTCTTTTCAATCAAGATTGAGCCTCGGTCGTTTGCCTAGATCTGCTCATTCTACAAACAAATTGTGCAGCGTAGCAAATGAGACTGCGATTTTTCTACCAACGAATACAGGATTTAGGTTCGACTTGGTCAGCACGAGCGCTCAAAATTAGAAGCCATTGCGCATGACACTTATGTCTCCTCAGCAGCATCCTCAAGGGGCTTTCATCAGTGATCATATTTACCACGATCCCGGAGTATAAAGATTCTCGCCAAACCACTATGAAGATCCATTCCTCGTTGGAACGATATTCGTGTCTCAAGTCATATTACAGAAGCGATCCACAGAAGCCTGACACGTTTGACCTTTGTCTCTGTGTCATCATTGAGGCTCTGCTTCAACACTGATGAAAGACGCGAGTTCTTCGCTTTCTAGAAAGTGACCTGGAGCCTCAAATTTTGCCATCTTCCACATCTTTATGATAGAGCCCCGACCTCGTGCTGAATCAGGGCCGAACCTCGTGATACATGAAGGAGGCGGTAGCTTACGACTGCTCAGCTCTCGATATAAGGAGCCGAGACTTGCTGCACAACAATAAGTTGCAAGAGAGTGACCATAGGAACATTTGATAATATCCTATCGAGTCAAATTTAGTCAGAATCATGAATCCCGCCGGCATTGAACCGAATACTCCCCTACACCACCGAATCTCAGCATGGAGCCGCTCCACGACGCATCCTGCCCGAGCAGATATCCCCTACTATGAGCCCAAGGCGCGGGCGACAAACGAAGGTATTGGCATCATCGAAATGCGACCGCCTCGCCGGCCACTCGACCACCACCGCTCTTTACCCAAGCTCCGCACCCAACTTCATTCTGTGAAGTCATCGCCCCGCAGCCGGCCTTTGCTTCAAGACAATCGCCACAAATGCAATCAACAGGAATGCTTTGGAAACTACGGTGCGGACGGTGCTCTACGTGGCCGACAGCATGCTCACAGCCAGAGGTCCGACGGCCCTGCTGCCATCAGCTTCGACTCTCCGGTTCGGCTGGGCCATGTGGAAGGCATGTCCTGGGACTTCGAGGACGTCTCGAGAAGCGCCTCTTGGACTAGCATCAGCGAGCCATCCGATACAGGCATGTGCAATGAAAGGGCTGACTCTTCCAACGCATCTGGTCAGTGCCCGTCGACTCGCGAGGCTTCTTTTCGAGGGCTTCATTGGTCTGGCTGGCCGTTTGCGAAGAAGTGACAATCGTGAAGGCAGGGTAAGGAACTAGGGGAGGGTTTTCTGGCAGCGGGTGAGGTCGATTAGCGGCCAGAGGTAGTCAGGGGCCTTGCAGAACAACAATTCAAAAGCTGCCAGTCCGCTGCTGACAGCAGAACAACGTGAACATGGAGTGCGCGTGTCACTGCTCGACATGCAAGAAAAAAACACTCAGAGGCAGGTGGTAGTATCACGTGTTTGATACAACAGCGATCATCGCACCGGCAGAAAAGTACTTGTCAAACTGTGGTCAACATGCTCTCTTTCCTGCAGCCAAGATTGAGTCACAACTATAAACAAGGGTATTCCTACTGCCAGTTAACGCCCCAGCACCAACAAGGACCATCCGCCCACATAAATCCACCACTGGCCTGCTACATATTTAGTCTTAATGCGAATCTAGAACAGCTCGCTGTCAGGCTATTTTTCGCCGACAACGTTGATCTCGTATCCTATCAGCACCTCTGTGTTTGAGCCTTCCCAGCCTCGTGTGCCAGCCGTCGAGATCATGAAACGACATGTGCGATCGAGATACAGCGAAGAGATGACACCAGCACGCGGTGGGCCGGGTACGATAAGGAAGGGAACGCTCGAATTTTTAAACGCCGCCGTGTCTCTCGTGTCATAGAGACGCAGAATATCATGCGAAGCGCTGTTAAATATTAGCATGGATCGTGATATTGAAAGAGCAGAATGGTGAGATGCCTACCAGATCAGGTGTCGCCCGTTCGGCATCGCCCGCACAGCAGTCACGGCGCCGGAGCCGGCTGGGAACTTGAGGGTTCGCTCAGGGTCCCATCCACTGCGGGCCTTGTGAATGCTGAACTCTTCAACGGTGCCGTTTCGCCGACCTGCGTAAATCCAGTTGCCGTCAGGACTCCAGGTGGCGCCCATGCACCACGGCGGCACGCCTGTCCGGGTGCCGATCCGCGCGACGGGATCTTGGACGCGGCGATCCCAGATGCGGATAGTGCCGTTGATGGCGGCCGACAAGAATACAGTATCGGAGGACTGTGTTGGGTCGAGCGGAGGGGGAGCTGGCCTGGATGAGAAGACAAGAGACGGCGAGTCTGGAGGCTGCTGCTCTGTCTGTGCAGAAGTGACAGCTTGAAACTCACCCATTCCCGTGGGTTCGGTAGGTGTTGGGTCTGTGACCATGGGGTCGGCCGCTGGCCCTGGGATAGGTGCCGGATGCACAACTGGCGAAGGTTGCGGTGGGGGTTGCTTCGCCACCAATGGGCTACTCGGAGGCGGTTGAACAGCCGGGGCCGGCACCGTCTCGGAATCGAATGTCGCCATGTCGGCGGAATGGTCCATTCCTCCCTCCATGCCACCATCCTGGCCTGACGCATCATGCATGGTCATGTTCATGGCCTGTGAGAATTCATCATCGTCATCACCCCCGAACCCTCCGGCGCCTGTTTCGCCAAATAGGGATCCAGTGTCACTGCCGCCAAACAGAGACTCATGCGCCGGAGACGCTTGGGCTTCCGTTGTTTCGGCCGCTGCTGTGTTGGCAGGCGCTGCGCTGAATGTGTCATTGGCGCCAGCAAAAGCACCGTTGGTTGGTGGCCGGTTGTTGCTCGACGAAAAGGTCTCATTCTTCGCCTGAAAGTCAGACGCCTCGGCGGGCACCGGTGCGCCGTTGAGGGGCCGTAGCTCGATGGCCGAGATCTGGTTACCTGTACCGTCGAAGCGCCGCTTGACGGTGCCTGTGTTCAGGTCCCAGTCGAGGATATTTTTGTCCCAGCTCCCACTGAGCACGCTCGTTTCGTCTTGAGCCAGGGTTAAGACGCTCACAGCGTTCGTGTGCTGCTGGAGACAGGTGATTCGCTTACCCTCGTCATGCCGCACGCTCTGCAGATTGATGCCGCCGGATTCGAGGCCCGACAAAAGCCACAAGGCTTGTGAATGAATGGCAAGGGAATACACGGGCGAGGTGACGTGCTCCTCGTTGCCACGCGGATTGGGAGGGCTGGGCTCCTCGTTCTCCCAGTATGACATGAGGATGCCCGCCTTGACGACACTGTCGACAAATGGATGGCGCTGAGCGACGGTCAAGAGCTGCTTGCCATTGATAGTGCCAGGGCCGTCGTACTTTCTGATGTAGCCATCCGACCCACCGGTAACCCAGTAGCGTAAGTCTGGCGTCACGGCGAGGGCGTTGATGCTGGTGGCTTGCGGGGCAGCCATTGTTGGGACGATATCGTACAGTCTCGCCGTCAGGGCTTCCGGGCGGACGGTGGGAAAGAGTCGTGACGAAGGAGGCTGGACCCTTTCGTCGTCTTGCGCTGAGGGGGAGCGCGAACCTCTTGATGTGCCTGCTGCACCAGCCTGCTCACCATTCGCGGGGTCAGCCTTTTCTGAGGCGCCGTCGTCAGGGCCCTTGTTGCCAGCGTCTTGCGCGTCATCTGCCGTCTCTTCACGCTCGCCATCTCCATCGTCCTGGTCATCATCGTTGTCATTGTCGTTGTCGTTTTCGTTCTCGTTGTCGTTGTCATTCTCGTTTTCGTTCTCATTGTCATTGTCGTTTTCGTCGTCATCAGCTTCATTATAGCCGTCGGCGTCGTCGGCATCTTCCATGACCTCGTCCTGGTCATTCTCGGAGCTGGCGTTCGACTCTGCAGAATGTGTTAGTGAAGTACCGAGGGTTGGGCGAAGGGAGGGTGCACACCTCTGTCGTCCTCGTCCATGTTGTCGGGCATGATGCTTAATGCCAGACGCCGAGGTCAAGTCAAATCTCAGTCGAAGTATTCGGGAAGCCGGTCAAGTGACAGGACACGGCTGATGGGCGCGAGGCGCCGCGGAATGCGACAACGAGCTGCTGATGCGAAAGGTACTGCGCCCGAGAGGGTAAGAGTGTCAATTGACGTCGCGGTGGGGGGTTGGCGGGGGCCAATCAAGTCCGGCAAGTAGCTAGCTAGATATGATGTCGTTCAGATGTACGCAGGAGCGGCGATCTGAAGCTCGGCAAAGCTACAATGTCTGAAGAGCGGTGGTGACATTCGGGTACAACAACGACGCGATTCGACTGCTGGAGCTTGGAAATGGGAGATGCGTCGTGGAGGGGTCCAAACGCGGCGGCATGATTACATAACTGGTTCCCGACTGTGATGAACCCCCATCACCCCCAGATTCCCTTCCCAGAACTCACCCCGGCGCATCACTCCTCCCACTCAAAAGGGTTCCAGCTCTCAAAAAAGGGCGCGAGCTGCATCTTTTATGTCTCCAAAGGCATTAAAATTCTCTGGTGGAAGGCTGACGAGGCGCCATATCATATGCCTACATACACGCCCACGCTGAGCCTATCATCAGATCCAAGGTACACGACGGAATCATAACAGAATCTACCAAGGACGTATCTCTCCTTACCTTACTGAAGTCAGACACTAAGTCACATGTCTACTTCTTTTGCAAGAGTAAACGATAACATTCAATGTTCACCACTCAGAGGAAAAGTTGCTGCGTAGCGGTCAATTATGGCATGGCCTGTCACCTGTGCCTTTCATGGTCGTGGCATACAGCCTTTCCGATTACTAACCAACACAGTCATTGAGACCCTGACGCCTCATCAAATTGCAGTTCTAGAAAATGGCATCGGTCCCCTTCAAGTCGACATCCCTGCGATGCTTCTTCCGTCCATCTCTTTCTCTCCGGAGTGCATAGTTTGGCGGCAGAGCAGCAGACACCGCCAAACTAAGCTGGCACAGTAGGTATATTCTCGAGCAGGACCAATCATCAGTCAAGTCAATCAATGGGAACACAAATCCAGGAGCAAACGGAAACTAGCTAGCCCTTGCTGGACAAGTCTGAAGCAAAACAGATGCCAGGGTTGCTTTGGACACGGGGGGTTACGAGAGAGTCGGTAAGGGACACCACGATGTCGGCGTACTTCGTAAAATGTAACAGCCGAACACCAGAAAACGTAACGACACTCTGTTCCTCAGCGTGCTTCCTAAATGCCGGCATGTCTTCACGCAACTCGTGAAGAAGAGGCAAAAATAATTAATTCTGCGTGAACTGGGAATCGAACCCAGGGCTCCCCGATGGCAACGGAGAATTTTACCACTAAACCATTCACGCTAGTTGATGACAAGACAAGAATCCTTACTAAACTATATACTATGAAAAAGTGGTTCTACGTTTGGTACGTTCACGCTCCCAAATCAACATCTCCTTGCGCTACTTCACAACCCCATTGTCATTTTCCGACTCCAATAACGCGGCTTCCTATGTGGTGAGGTCTATCAAAATCATTCTCCCCTGTATTGACCTCATCCGTGATGTGTGGCGCTGCTCCCCTGATATGGCTTCCATCGCCCAATATCAAACTCAAGGATCACACGGACTTTCCGAGTGTTTGAGACCGATGTACAACACCAATTGCAATCGAGCATGCATAATCCACTGCGTGATGTCCGCTGTGTTTAATTCATGCTAACTATCTTCGATCGCTCTATGTTCGTGGCATTAGGTAATGACAATCATGACGGCCAGCAGTGACGGTCGGATAGGCACCCAGCTCACCAGTCGGTATACTTGTGCTGAGACAAGGTATCGTGAAAGTCAATATGGGAATCAAGGCACCCAGATGACCGAAAAACCTGTGTAGAGGGTTGTGTCTCGTGTTGCAAAACAGATTTTGTCACCGACTTTCCGAGTATTGGTTATTCAAACCCCGCCCTTTTCCCAGAATTGAGCAATGGCAAGAGGGTTGCGCTCCGCAGCATGGTTCTAAAAACTGATTGCAGAATCCAGCGACACATGGTTTGAAGAGCAATATGAACGAACGCCTTGATTGTGATAGTCTTTGAGAATTTGAGAGACTTGGTATTTGCTTCTGTTTCTGTACTATGCTTCCTGTGCCCAGCGGCATCCCTGTCTACTCTAGCTGATCGGTGTAAGGAGGGAGTGGTATGACGAGACGCGACTGCTGCCTGGGGTGAACAAAGCAACGCCATCGTCAGTCGAGGATGATATGAGCCTGCGTTCGCTGTCCATCTAAGCAGCAGGCTTCTCAGGCTGATCGACCTTGTCCACACGCCAGAGGCCATAAGGTCCGTCGCAGTTCTTCCACATTTTGATAGTACCGTCCTCTGATCCCGTAGCGTACAGTTTGTTGTCTGGCGAGAAAGCGATCGACCAAATGGGACCGTGGTGTCCCTTGTGCGTTTCTGTAACCGGGTTAGATCTTTCACTGACAGTCCATCACAAGACTAAGACATACCAATGTCACTTCCATCATCCCAGCGGCAGACCTTTCCCCAGGTGCCAGGCTCCTCACCAACGACAAACTTGCGACCCTTGAGGTCAAGTCCGACGCTGGCAACTGTGTGCTTCATATCGAGACGCTTCAGCTCCTGCGTGGCATCAGGTCCACTCCAGAAGTAGATCCAGCGACCAGCAGAGACGGCCAGCACAGGCAGGCCACCACCGATGTCCGTGAGTGATGTGTACTCAGGAGCTAGCGAAACAAGCTCGCATGACTTGATCTCGCCGTCGAGAACCTCCTCCTTGATAAGCTGCCGGCTTGGCAGATCAAACCAACGCAGCGTCTTGCCTGAGGCGGTGACAATAATGCTGGGGTTCTGTGTCCAAACAATAATCTTGATCGACTCCTTGTGAATGCCCTCGCCAATTTCGTGGCCAGTGGAGGCGGCAATCGTCTTTGGCTCGGAGGCAGGGCTCGATGTGTTGTGAGACAGTCCATGCTCAGAAAGGTCGAACAGGCGCAGCTTCTTCTCATGGCCACCGGTGGCAATGAGATCCGAGTTGTCGGGGGGATAGGCGACGGCGCGGACGATATGATCATGCTGAATAGTAAGTAGAATCTCGCCGGTGTGGGTGTCCCAGATCTTGCTGTGGATGACACGTCAGTTATACTGCATCAGGCACGTGGCGCATACGAACGAACGTACGCAGTGAAGTCGGCCGAGGCAGTGGCCGAGTTGCTAAGGTCGGGGCTCAGCCTGGCCTGCCAGACAGCACCCTTGTGACCGATAAAGGTGCCAATCCAGTCGCCGGTGAGACCATCGCGAAGCATGGGATTACCATCCTTGCAAGCAGAGATCATGAAATACTGGCCGTCCTTCTCGAGCGGCGAGAAGCAGATGTGCGGGACGGGGCGTGAGTGGCCGTGGCACGTGAGGGGGACGTAGGTCCGCGCAGCGACTGTGTCGGTCGACATGATGTTGAGGTGTCTTTGAGGAGTCGCTATGTCGATTTCGAAATACGGGGTGGTGCAAGATGCGCGCGAGAATCAGGGGGCGTCGAAGGTTTGTCTGGAGGCGTGCTGTCGCGACGGGTGGTGATGTGAGCCGAGGGGTATCGTTATGGTGATAAAGGAAAACAGCCGTGACGTCGTAAAGTCGTAGCGTGCCTGTCGTGACCAGGATCGAAGGAGGAGAACGTTGCAGGCACTCGAGATGGGACGGGAAAGGAGTGGCCACCGCCTCGAATGTTGGAGAAGACCGTGAAGAACGACGTGGGAAGAAAGTAGAAATGCAGATGCCCGTCCACAGCAATCGTCCCGTGTCTCGACCAGTGTGGGGCAAAGGAAGGAAGGAAGGAAGAAGGGGGTAGGGAAGGAGGGGGGTTCAAATTGGCACTGGTAGCTGCTAGCTGGCCGTCGCTCACGTTGCTGGAAGCAAATGGACCCTGACATGAGACGTGCCCCGCCATCAAGGGGCCGGGCCCACTGTGGACGATCCGTGCTGAAGCTTGAGTCACGATCCGAGGATTAGGCGGAAGCTCTGCTGTAGAAGCTCCTCCTTCCCCTGGCGGGCGGCAGGAAGCAGCGCGGGGGATTACCTAACTCGCACTGGCCATGTGCGTGGGTACACCCTGCCGCTGGCCTCCTACTCCCAGCTTCCATCGTCATCGGTAGCTCAGTTCCCAAGACGCTCTGGTCTCCTCATCTTGACAAATCACCTTGTCCCCCTTCTCCGGCCACACGGTTGCCACACGAGCGCTCCCGATTTTGGTCCTTGTTTGATCGTTCAATGCTATGAACCCTCCTGTTCTGCATCGCACCCATTCGATTTCTTGACGCAGGTGACCCTACAGCACCGACACTCTCTGGCCAGCCATCCAACAAGCTATCCGACCCATCCCTACCCCGCCGATCCGCCATGACTGACTTCAAGCTCTCGGCCCAACTCACCGGCCACGACTCTGATGTACGTCGCTGGCAAACCTGGGAAGACAGTACCCTCAATATTCTTGAATTAACGCATTTATCTTTGCCTCGCAGGTCAAAGCCGTCAGCTTCCCTTCTCCTGATGCCGTCTTGACCGCGTCCCGCGATGGCAGCGTCCGCAAATGGCAGCGAACCGGTACCTCCCCGCCAGCATTTGAACCTACAGTCTCCAGCCAGAACTCGGAATTCGTCAATGCCGTAGCGTATCTTCCCCCTTCCAACCTCTTCCCGCAAGGTCTTGTGGTATCTGGGGGCAAGGACACCTTTGTCGAAGTGCGCCAACCGAACGCCTCGGCAAGTGACGATGCCGAGCGTCTCCTCGTCGGCCACTCCCAGAACGTCTGCAGCATCGATGTGTCCCCGAGCGGCAACTATATCGTGTCGGGGAGTTGGGACTTTCAGGCCCTCATCTGGAGCACAACATCATGGGAGCCAGAGGTGCGGCTGAGTGGCCATGACAAGGCTGTCTGGGCTGTCCTGGCGCTAGATGACAACACGGTGCTGACCGGCTGTGCCGACGAGAACATTCGCATTTACGATCTTCGTAAGGCGGTCGCTGGAGAGGCTGCACCGGCATCCACCATCACCACACCAGACGTTGTACGTGCGCTGTGTCGCGTACCCAAGGGCCACCCGAGCGGCGCCGACATTGCCAGCGCCACCAATGATGGTATCATCCGGCTGTGGAAACTCAATGGCCAGCAAGTTGCCGAGCTGATCGGCCACGAAAGCTTCATCTACTCGTTGGCAAGCCTGCCATCCGGAGAGCTACTGAGCGCCGGTGAGGATCGCACACTAAGGGTGTGGAAGGGCATTGAGTGCATCCAATCCATCACGCACCCGGCAATTTCGGTGTGGGCTGTGGCGGCGGACCCTGAGACAGGTGACATCGTGTCTGGCGCCAGCGATGGCGTCGCTCGTATCTTCACCCGCAGCAGCGACCGACTGGCGGATGCGGAAACCCTTTCCAGCTTCGAAGAGTCCATCAAAGCGTCCTCGATTCCTCAGCAGCAACTACCTGATATCAACAAGGAGAAGTTGCCAGGGCCTGAATTCCTCCAACAGCGATCTGGCACAAAGGAGGGCCAGGTGCAAATGATCAACGAGGGCAACGGCTCAATCACAGCCCATCAGTGGTCTGCGAGTAAGCATAACCCCGTCGTAGACGCCCGCCCATCGCATACTGACAAAGCGCAGGCCAACAGCAATGGATAAGCATAGGCACAGTGGTCGACTCCGCTGCGAGTAGTGGAAAGAAGACGGATTACAAGGGCAAGTCATACGACTTTGTATTTGACGTTGACATCGAAGACGGAAAGCCACCCCTAAAGCTTCCTTACAACCTCTCGGAAAACCCTTACGAAGCCGCTACTAAGTTCCTCGGTGATAACGAGCTGCCCCTCACGTACCTCGACAATGTCGCCAACTTTATCACCCAGAATACACAGGGTGCGACACTTGGTCAGGCAGCCCCCCCGGCTGCCGATCCGTACGGCACTGAGGCCAGATATCAACCTGGCGAGCCCGCCGCGAAGCCTAATGTTCTGCCCCAGAACGATTTCCTTAGCATTACAGCGGCGAAGTACGATGCCATGGTCAACAAGATCTTGCAGACCAATTCCAATATGATCTCATCAGGTCGCAAAGACTTTGCCCTCAACCCCACAGAGCAGGCAGCGCTACAGGAGCTCCGCCAGGCAGTAGAAAAGTCGACAGCCATCAGCGAACCTGGACTCAACTTGGCGATCAAAATCGTTTCTAGATGGCCGTATACCGACCGGCTTGCAGGCCTGGATCTCCTAAGGTGTATGGCACCATCACCGGTTGTCGCTGGATACTCGTCTATTCTCGGGTCTATTGTCCAAGTGGCCATCAGCAGTGCCTCAGATGTCCCCGAAGGCGGCCCGCCCAACGAGAACAGTGTCATGATGGCCCTCAGAACTGTCGCCAACCTATTCAGCTCCAAGGAAGGCCGTGAGGTCGTAGCCAAGGAGGCCTCGACCGTGGCCTCTTTCCTGGAACGCGTTGTGGGCATAGCCGACGGAATACCCATCGGTCAACACAACCGTAACCTGCTCATTGCCGCGACTACCATCATCATCAACTACTCCGTCCTGAGCCGGAAAGACAAGGCTGTCTTTGAGGGTTCAGACCTGCCCAAGCAATTGCTGTCAGTATTGGGCAAGATCCTGACGGAACAAAACGACTCCGAGGTGCTATACCGCGGTCTTGTCGGACTGGGTACTTTCGCCACGAGTCATAAAGCTATTGCTGAGTCGCTCAAGGCACAGGAGTGGGTGAAAGCGGCCAAAGGCAAGGCTACTGAACCCAGGGTGAAGGATGTCGCTGGAGAGTGCTTGGACCGCCTTTGGTAGGCTTGCGAATTATGAATTATGATGGATGAAGCATTGGCATAGAGTAGGAGGACTATCAACAGGCTTCGAATGAAGGTTTGACCTTGCTGCAGGTATATAGTCTAATGAGATGTTGCCAAAGGGGTGAAGGTGCCATTTCTGTGAGCTGTGCGGTATTTGGCTAACCGTTCGTCTATTGAACATGTTGACCAAGGGCTTCGTTGTCTTGAACTTGATGACGAAATGTATAAATTTCGCAGATTCTTGTGAATAATACGCTCGAGCACTGAGTGTGTGTCTGGTACACGGCATCGTCCAAAATAGCAGCACCAAGTGTGGATCAAGATCATTTTGATTCCTCTCGTCCTGCTAGTAAGGACAGACTCATGTAATAAACAACACGATGATGGGGAGGGAGAGAATGCCCCCCGTGGTATCTGTCTGTTTGACAGCACACCTACGACTACGATGAAAAGAACGGATTTCCCAACCTCCGCACGTATGGCGGTCCCTGATTTCGCCCCGAACGCCGCTGATCTATGCCTCGGATATACAAGATGAAACAAATGTCCCAAAAAACGAAAATAAAACACCGCGCCAGCCCTCGGGGTAGCTTCTGCTTCTCTCTCTACCTCGCCCTCTACTACTCTCACGCCAGGAGGAAGGCGCCCGCGGCGAGCAGCGGCGCCCAGCCGAGCAGCGCGCTGCTACGCAGGACGACCTCGGCGCCGGACTTGACGACTGTGTTGCTGCCAGATGCGCGCGTCGTGATGGTGTAGATGTCGGCGGCACCAATGTCGGTCGAGTTGAAGCAGTTCGTCGAGTTGATCTCGGCGATGCGCTCGTCGCCGGGTTCGGCGAAGGTAATGTCGACGCACTGGAGACGGGGACGCCTGTTAGCATGCTGTTCTAGGTAGACAGGACATTTCACGAGAGCAAGCCAGCTTACCGAGTACAGAGCCGCGCCGTGCATGGCGTGCTCCACAATCTGAATGGTGGCGTTGTCGCCGGCCTTGACGGTGACATTGTTGGGCATGGGCAGCTGGGGAAGGCAGACGGTGCCGGGGTAGGGGTTCTTGCTGGGTCCGAGGATCTGGAAGGGGACGCCCATGGTGTTGGACATGTTGAGGGGACCGCCGTCGGGGCCGCCGGTGCCGAAGCCCATGTTAATGTGGATGGTGGCCGTGAGATGGCCTTGGAACCAACCAGGCTGAAAGGCGACGGCGCCGCCGGTCGTGGGCCAGTATGTGCGGTTCTGCGTCAACGGGGTTCCGCCGCCTGGGTGGCGTGTTAGTTTAGACCGGCGGTTAAGGAGGAGATTCTTGGAGATATCGAGGCTTACAAGGGAAGGTCCACTGCATGCCGTAGGGGAATGTCTCATTGGTGATGAGATTGTTCCCTCGCCAGCCTGGATAGGAGATGACGATGTGGGCGGCGGCCGTCGCCGCCAGGACGAGGGCGGATAGTGTTGAGGCGAGCATGGTGATGAGAATTTGTGGTGATTTCGATAGATGAGTCTCAACAGATGCAGCGAGTTTCGTTTGGACTTGTGTTTCGACAGGCTTTTCTTTTCGAAGACTCTTTGTTCACAAGGCTGTCAAGAGATTCGATCACCTGCAGTCAGTCCAAGTGTCG